TGTATAAGATAAAGTCAGGAGGCCAGAGGGGAGCTCTTATGCTCTACCACTTGTTGACAATTGCAACCCCAACAGGAAGACTCACACCTTGCAAGTCCATACTACTTTAGCTGCTTTATTACCGGAGCAGGAGGAAGAAGGTTTTCTTCTTGCCCAGCAACAGCCCAGCCAATGACAGACAGTCACAACTCAGCCAGTGAAAAGCCACCATACTTCGAACTCTGAGTTTATTCCAATGGACTTTTGTTTGTAACCACCTCTCCCAATTCCCCCTTTCCTCTATGGAAGAGCCTTCCTCTCCTTTGTTCTCTGAACTTGCCTATGGATTTGCTATAGCTTGCATGTTCTGAATTACAATTTTCTGCTATTCCTGAATAAACCCATTTTTTTTTTTTTTGCTTGTAAAATAACTGACGGTTTTATTTTTAAAGTTAACACTCTGTACAAACTTTTCTACTCTCTTGGCTGCCCTGCGATGAAAGAAGTCCTCAGAGGATTTCTTGTCTGGGTTTCAGTTTTCAAATTGGGAGCTAGCCCTCCCCACTCTCAGATGTCTGTCTTTTCCAGGAAGATGGTCTCTACCAACTCCCCAAAGGTTTTGATCTTTGGAGGGGTAACTGTGAGAATCCTTTTCTCGAGAGATACTGCACCAGCTCTACACTCTCTAAATGTTCTCCAAGATCCTTAAACCCAGCTCAGAAAAGGTTCTTATTGCCTCTTTGTGTGGTGGAGATACAGTTTATACATCAACACGTTTTATGTTATAAACTCTATGCACTTAGTGCTCCAGGATTTGCTTTTAAAGCGCCAAATTTTTTTTTCTTTTTCAATACCATTGTATCTTCCCCTCTAAGAGACTATTTTGAGATTCAAAGTGAAGAATTTGACTTGCTGAATTCAGCTTTTGCTAGGTTCTTTGGTACGTTTCCCTCTCTAGGATAAAAGCTGCTATTAGCCTAAAGATCTAATTTTAATGGTGAAAATGTTGTACGGTAAAGAGGAAATGCCAAGAAGTAAGAATACATCTGTCAATATTTTAAAATATTTTACAGCTACTTATATGATATGAACTGAATGACTTAGGTGGTCTAGGACAAAATTTTGCTCTTTGGGGAGGAACTGGAAAGAATCTAGGCACATGTCTAATGATGTTAACTTTAAATAGCTTTTGAAATTTACCATAAGAGGCAGATTTTTCTCTCCCTCTTGGCTTTGACAATATTCCCTATGTCACTCCCTTCTTTTCCATGATCCTCCATAACCTGGGAGTGTTAGTTGGCAAAATTCCATACAGTAAGCAAGATTTACTGCCATTTAAGAGCCTCATACTGTCTCCTTGGGGAAAGACAAAACCCTGTGGCTAAAAATGTCAAGTCTGGGATCTTAAAGTTCTACCAGAGAAACTGTGGGGAATGTTAGTCTCTTGGTGGGGGAATAGGTTGGATCACTGGAATGTCTTTTTCCCAGCTAGTTAAATTTCTATGATTCAAGGAAAGAGACCTTAAAAGGAATGGAGAAAGTACAATTTTTATGGAACAAAAGTGAACATTAGTTACTTTAATATTTTGAAAAGCATTTTTATGAATTTTTAATAAACTCTGCAAATGATGAAATGTCACATTCAAAGGAATCAATTAAATGCTTATATTACCATGGATTTAAGCCCCTAATTATTGGGGAAAGGTAAAAATTCCCAGATTTCTGAGTTCATGATAGTAAACTTCTATATCTTTCATAATATTCACAGAATGCTCATGACAAATGTAGTGCAAATGGAAATGTTTTATTCCCAACATGGACTGTTGAAATGAAACTCACTTATGTTGAGTATCACCACACCAGGTATATACCTCATTGAAAAATGATTCCTGACTGATATATATGTTTGCATGTGTAAGAATGTGTATGTATATGCATGCATATGTATAATTTTATATATACATATAATTTTTGAACATTGAAAGGTATTTTACCCACTAGAAAGAGTTTGATATTTCAATCTCTCAAATAATTTTATATCATGGAATAGTGGTTAAGAGCATGGGTCTGGAATCTGATTGCCTGGGCTAAAACCATTAATTAGCTGTGTGACCTTGGGCAAGGTACTGAAACTTTCTGTATAGCAATAACCTCATCTCTAGGATTGGGGCAATAACTGCATCTGCCCCATGAGGTGGTTGTGGGTATTAAGTAAATTAGAACATGGCATTTTGTATAAAATACAAAATAAATGTGAACTTTCAGTAACATTATTAGTATATGCAAGGCCCATACTAGCTGCTTTGGGGGATAAAAGAGACACAGTCTTTACCCTTATATGGTTTACTATCTAGCTGGGAACTCAAGCTATAGTCTTATATAAAGTGAAATATTAATACCTGAAAAGAAAATCAACAGTTCAGTTCAGCTGCACAGACCAGCCTCTTAAATATAGAAGCCATATGAGCTGGGTGACCTGGACCAGAGGAGTATCGTTATATAAAATGTTAGTCTCACATTTGTTTCCCTTCACCTGATGCTTATCTCTCTGACATGATGAAAACAGGCTCAAGGCACACTGTATAATGAACAACATTTGCAGTGGCCCAGCCTATATTAATCTTGCAGTGGTTTAACCATGGGTGAGCAGTAAAGGACACGGCTACTGATGCTGGATTAAGGCTCTTGACAACAGAGGTTGGTTGAGCTGTGAGTGCTCTGAAAAGCAGGCCAGCCCACCAATTTCTGCAGTTTGCAGAGGGACAGTGACTGCTTCAGCCGATTTTTAAGTTTTTTTCTGAGATGCGCAGACAATTGCAGACTGTCATTATCCAGTTTAAGAGGTAATTCTGTATAAGGACTGGCACAAAACTGCCTATCTAATTGCCAGATAAATACTACAGTTAACAACTTCTCTGTGAGATCAAGGACAGGACTACTTCCCACGGTCTGGGATGTTCATGGAAGGCCTTGGGAAGAAGTGGTTACGAAAGGGCCCTCAAAAAGAATTTAAGGTAATCTTTGGATTAGTCCCTTTTAAATAAAATATTAATTCCCCTAATTTAATTTTTTTTATAAAGAGGAGTGCCTTCATTTATTAATTAATTTTTAATTTTAAGTAGGTCCCAAGTCCAATGTGGGGCCTGAACTCACGACCCTGAGATCAAGAGTCATATGCTCTACCAGCAAGGCACACCATCCCCTAGCTTAATTTTTAAATTTATCACTCTAGATTTTCCCCTACTTTCTGTCCCTGACTGGTGCTCCTATCAAAAGATAATTCTGGGTCTAAGTTACGAGTTTAAGTTTTCATATGTTGATCTGAGTATATAATCTTCACCTATAAAACTGCTTCTGGCGGGGGGGGGGGGAAACAGGAGTATTCTGAATTCCAGACAATCAATTCATAAACCCATTTTTTAAAACTCTACCTGGGTTGGTTCTTTCACTCAACAATTAATGAGTGCTTTTCGTTAGTATCAGACACTGTTGTAGGCCCATATGAACAAAAGAAAGATACCTGCCCTCATGGAGTTGACATTCTGGAGAGGAGAGACCGTTAAAAAATACACAGAATCAATAACTGGTAGTGTGTTGGAAGGCAGTAAGTGCTAAGGGATAAAGAAAGAGTAGTGAAGGGTAAGAGGGAATGGGATGGGTGGCAATTTTAAACAGGATGGTCACTGTGAAGGTTACACTTAAGCAAAGTGTGAAGGGAGCCAGCCAAGATGACCAACCCCAAGTAGGGGAAGAGTATTTAAGGCAGAAGGAAGAGCCAGTGCAAAGGCCCTGAAGCAAGAGCTTACCTAATGAGTCTGAAGAATAGCAAAGAGACCAGTATAGTAGGAAAGGGGTGGGAGAGACAAGAGGATGAGGTCAGAGAGGTAAGGTGGGTAGCGGCAAGAGGGAGCTTGCTAGATCATACAGAGCCTTGCAGGACTGTAGAGGCTTTGTGAAAGTCAGTAGTCACTTGCACTGGGTTGGCTTAAAGCAAAGCCTGCTTGTATCAAAATAATTTCTCTTTTCCCCAGTGTCCTATACTTCAACTTTAATGTGGATACACACAGACTGAGATCTTGCTAAAATTCAAATTCTGATTTAGTAGGTCTGGGGCAGGGCCTGAAATTCTCCATTTTTAACAAGCTTCCAGGTGATGCCAGGCTGCCAGTCTACAGGTACATATTGACAAGTAAGAGTGAAGAGGTGCTGAGTTCCCAGGCGCTCTGGAACTTACCTCTCCATTAGCTGGGTGCAAGGGCCTTCTTGTTCCTTGTGAGCCTGAAAGGACAGCCTCCAAAGGTATTTGTTCACTTTCCTATCGGTCATGGTCTCACCACTGGACTCACTATTTCAAGGTCCAATCACTTGGCTCTTAAGAGCATGGTCTAGAACTCCCTCCAAGAACAAGAGATAGGTTGTATGGCTGTTTCCATGCAGAGTCGAAGAAGTTTCTAGGGCCTCCTCACTGCCTATGGAGGCTCTGACCACATTCCTATGTTAACTCCAGTTACAGAAGTTCTGACTTGTGGCCTTCACTCCTGGTCCTATGCCTTGAGCGAAAGCCCAGCCTTCTAAACTAGGCCTGAGGCAGCTAGAGGATCTGGGGTATGCTCCCAGGTAGAAGAGAGAATGCCCTGCTAATGACTGTTTTACGGACAAGGCTGGCCTTCTTAAGAGCTAGTGCAGTAATCTGCAGCGGTGCAGGCCTGGGAGGACTAGCCACTTATGAATATAAAGCAGGGGTTATGAGTCAAGATAGGCCTGGGTTTGAATTGTGCTTCTATCCCTTACTGTGTAATCTCAGGAATATTCCTTGGGGTCCTGGAGTCACAGTTTTCTCCTCTGGAAAGTGGGAATGACAACAACACTTCCCTCATTTATTGAGAGGATGCATATAAAGCATGTAGCCAGGCACCTGGTTCATAATGATGCTCACAAAATACTGGTTATTATTTTTATAATCACTAGTAACATCCCACCACCTAACAGATCGCTCTGTGGCCTGGCCCCATGGTACCCACCTTTACATTCTCTGGAGTTCAGGCACCCTGGCAAATCCCTCGGCAAAGGCTTTCAAAGAGAAAACAGAGGGGTCAATGGCAGTTTCATCGTGGCAAACGTCACTAGAAGTAATTAAGGAACTGAAGATGTTTCGTTTAGAAAGGAGATGACGGTGGGATGGACGTGATGGCTGTCGTCATGTTGTCTTGTGTGAGAGAAACGAGATGCGTTCTACGAGACCCAGGCGGCACGCTGCGACCAACCGGAAGCAACGAAAGGAACGCACACCCGCCTCCAACAGACAAAGCGAGGGAGGGTGCGACGGAGGAGGGGGTGTCTGTGAGGGTCCGCTCCTGCGCAGCTGCGGCGGCGGAGCCAATCGCTGCGCGCAGCCCGTCCTCGCGCGATGGTGCAGTCGTACAGTCGTGACGTCGGCGGTTGCCATGGAGAGGCCCGCTAGCTGGGGACCGCGAGCTGGCGCCAGGGGCGGCGGGGTCAGAGCGTGGCTTTGAAGCCGCTTCCGCTACCACCATGAGCGGCCGAAGTAGGGGTAGAAAGTCCTCCCGCGCCAAAAGCCGGGGCAAAGGCCGCGGCAAAGCCCGAGTCCGCGCTGCTCCTGACGACGTCCCCCGCGACCCGGACCATCCACAGTGCCAGAGGCTCGGGGAGGAAACCCAGGCGGCACAGGTGCAGGCTGGCGCGGGTTGGGGTGGCCTGGAAACCGCTGCGCCCGCGCCGTCCCGTCGGCCCGGAGAGGACGCTGCCTGCCGGCTCCCACTGGACTGTGGCCTCGCGCTCCGGGCCCGAGCTGCGGGGGATCGCGGGCAGGCCGCGACCAGGCCCAGCCCGGGGAAGGCCACATCCCTCTCGGAGCGCCTAGCAACAGACACTGTCTTCGTGGGGACCGTGGGAGCCGTGGGAAGGCCGAAAAATGGCCCCCGCGTTGGAAATCGGCGTGGCCCCGCCGGGAGGAAGGCCCCAGAAACCTGTAGCACAGCGGGGAGGGGGCCTCAGGCCATAGCCGGCGGGAAGCTGAAGAAAGGGGCCACAGGGGAGAGTGTCTCCGTCCCTGTGGTAGAGGAAAAGAAGGTGGAGAAGGATGCAGGGTCAGGGCCCCTGGCGACAGATGGCAGCATGGATACGCTGGAGACGGTCCAGCTGAAGCTGGAGACCATGAACGCCCAGGCAGACAGGGCCTACCTTCGCCTCTCGCGGAAGTTTGGGCAGTTGCGACTGCATCACTTAGAGCGCAGGAACCTCCTCATCCAGAATATCCCGGGTTTCTGGGGGCAAGCTTTTCAGAACCACCCCCAGCTATCATCCTTTCTGAACAACCAAGATAAAGAGGTTCTCAGCTACTTGAACAGCTTGGAGGTGGAAGAGCTTGGCCTCGCCAGATTGGGCTACAAAATCAAGTTCTACTTTGGGCGCAACCCCTATTTCCAAAATAAGGTGCTCATCAAGGAATATGGGTGTGGTCCTTCGGGTCAGGTGGTGTCTCGTTCTACTCCAATCCAGTGGCTCCCAGGGCATGATCTCCAGTCGTTAAGCCAGGGGAACCCCGACAACAGCCGTAGCTTCTTTGGGTGGTTTTCAAACCACAGCTCCATTGAGTCTGACAAGATTGTGGAGATAATCAACGAAGAACTGTGGCCCAATCCCCTGCAGTACTACCTTATGAGTGAAGGGGCCCGTGCAGAGAAAGGAAAGGAGGGCAGGCAAGGTCCAGCAAGGCAGCCAGTGGAGACCCCTGAGCCTGGGGCAAACAAGTCCAACTGATCCTGCACTAGTCTCCCTACTACCTCCTGTTGGACCTGTGCCCAGCTAACCACACGTGTTTGGCTGTCTGCCTTCTCTTCATGTTGGCCTCTATGCACTGTATTCCCTTTGGACTTCAGTTACAAGAATATGGTATTTATGATCATGTTCTTTTGCCTCCTCGTGGCCTTCTTGCTTTTTCACATTAGTGTTACATGTTAAATGATCTCACCCCTACTGTTTATATGTTAAGCACACATGTTTCAAGTGTGTGCTGCCTTTGTCTACATTGCCTGGACCATGTTCTTGGCTCTGGCCTTTCCCAGCTGTCTCTAACGTGGACACTCATGAGTCATCCTCCAAGAGGACCAGTGCATCCTTAAGCTCTGCTACTTCAGGGCCAGTGACTTGCTGAGCTTTGTGTTCATGCTGGCCATGCATGCCATCTATGGCCAGTTTTTCTGTTGCCACTGCAGAATGAAGTTAGCGCACATGGTATTGGCCATCAGCCAAAACTAATTGTTCCAAAGCCCTGGGGTCACCGGCCTAGTTGCCACCACCTACTGGATCTCTGACTTTGGCCAGGGGCCTCAGCTGTCCTCCTGGATGTGCAGAATAGCACTTGACTGCTGGGCATGGATGAGGTTGAGAGTGAGAAGCAGTATGCCATGTGTTCTGTACCATCGTTTGTCTCTTCCTGCCTCTGGGCCCTTCTGCTATTGAACATTCGTCAAGGTCTATACCATGCCTCGTCACTGTCAGGCCACTGAGACTTGTCTAGGTTGCTATTGGCCCCAATTGGCCTCGTGGTCAACGAGGACCTCAAGAACTGCCTGTGGACCCAGGCCCCCTGCCAGTGCATGAGACACACACCAACCCTCCCCAGCCTTCCAGGAACCCTGCTGCCTGCCAGACTGATGGGCCGGTGTGTGAACATGTGCTCACTGTCATCGTGCCATGGCTGCAGGTGAGGGTGGGCACTGGACCCACATACAACCTCGGTACCTTTGTCAACTCCACTTATTCCTTCTTAGCACAGGACCAGAGTGCTGTAGTGGGCTTGCTGGGGAAGAGGTATTTCTGACCTGTGGGCCTGTGTCTACTTCCTCTCACACCTCTGTACCTTACTTGCCCTTCCTTCACTCCCTCTCTTCCTTCTTTCCTCCCTTTCCTGTCCTTTCTTCTTCCTCCACTTCTCCCTTCCTTTTTTGTTTCAGTGTTACCACAGCTCAGAAAGAGAAAACAACTGAGAAACCAGGGTTTTCTGCATAACAGCTAGCGAGACAGCTGGGACTTGTGCACACTCACACTCTGTGCTGACAGAGGGTAGAGGAAGCCAGAAGGCTAAGTGGGTCTGTGGTCAGACCTTGGTTCCGACTCCTGGGTTCACTCTTTAATTCTCAAATGAAAATTCTTTTCATGGCTACACATGTGTTAGAATTATAAGCCCTAAGGCAGCAGTGTTGTGGACTAGTGTTTACTCCTGTTCTTACTTGTGTGTGTGTGTGTGTGCCCCTTAAGACCCAGTGACCTCATATTGTTTCCTCCTCTGTGGTAGCCTCTGGCCATCTGGCCCTCATTCCCCAGCTTTCTACTCTCAGCAGTCCTTTGCTCTCTTTACTTTTCTACCTTCAAATACCCTTAGGAATAGGCTTCCTTCCATCCTGGGGCATGGGGACAGGGTGGGCGGAATCTGTTCTGGATCTCCAGGGCTCATTTCCAGTGAGTATAAAAGCTGAGCCAGGCCCTCTTTCTCCTTTGCATCCCTGAGGGTTGACGGGTAGGACTGTAACTACACTTGCTCTCCCCTAATCTCCTTTTCCTTATGGGAGACCTTGTTCTGAGTTCCCCAAGGGCTGGGGAGGCCTTGACCCAAATTTGTAGAGAGGGTGTGCCAGGCGGGGGACTTGGAGCAAAAACACAGAGCAAGAATGGGCCTGGTGTGGAAGGGGTCTGGAGATGCAGGTAGAAATGGTTTGAGAAGCCTCAGGGAGACTATGCCTGTCTCTCAGTGAGGGCAGGGACGGGGAGGGACCTTCCCCAGAGTGAGGAGGGGAGAATTAAAGGGGTCATGGGCCAATACAGTGCCTAGGTGAGGGTTTGCCCACGGTTTTATCCAATCATTAGCTCATCATTAGTGGATTTTATAAATCACAGAAACAAATCCAAAACAGAATAATGTTACTTTGGATGCTTTCTCTTTTGTTCTAGGTGTGGCCTTGCGTATGTGGAAGATTGATGCTATATGCTGCTTATTTTGCCATAAGTAAAATCTTACCACTTCCCCCATTTTTGCCTAATGGGAAAATGTAGCTGTATAGGTCTGCTTTTTTCTTTTTCTTTCTTTCTTTTTTTCTTTTTTTTGACTTTTTGCTCTTTATTATGGACACTTTCAGACAAGCACAGAAATGGAGAGGATGGTACCTGGCCCCTGTGTACCCATCATCTAGCTACATCAATTATGATCAACCTGGGATCTTCCTCTCCCCACCTGTATTGTTGATGGAAAATCCGACACTGTGCCAATTCAACCTTGACTACTTTGGGAGATCAGGACTCTCTTTTGGTGGTGATAGTGGTGGGGGGCACTATCATGATCCCATCAGGTCTGCTTTTTGCTTTAAATGTTAACAAATGAAGTTCCAGAAATGGGCCTTAGAAGTGAAAGTCTTCAGGATAAACAGGGAGTCTCAAAAAGAGAAGAAAAGATGCTCCCTTTCCCCTGTATCCACAAAAGGAGAGAGAGGGAGAGAGACTGTTGTAAATCTTACAGACTGATACGATAAGGTGCTTACTTGGGACCCTTCACCAGAATATCAGTCTTTTTTGCTTGTGAAAGATGGAGGCTTGTGTGACTGTTAGAAATATCATCAGCTTGTCCTGGTCTCATAATATAACTGGTCTTGGAAGTATAATTTGGAAATTGTTTCTGTGTTCTGTGAAAATAACCTCCCCAAAGCAATCAGTTACTGGTTGTCTTACTTGGTAATTTGGCACCCTGGTAATGCAATTATTCCTTTGTTCCTAAACGGTATAAATAGTTGTAAGCTCACATGCATGATGGAAAATAAAAGCCTGTATCTCTGTTATATTTTTTATTTTAATGAAAGAGTTGGAAGGTGAAGGTGAGGCTAGCTAGTTGAGGGGATGTATACATTGGCCTTGAAGAGTGCTTCCTAGGTCTCAGGCCCTGGTGTGACTAGCTCCATAACAATAATTCTCATATCCTTAGCACAGATTGAGATTCTGTGGTTGGTACTGGGAGGAAGCCAGGTAGTTCTTGTTTTTAACGAGTTTTCCAGGTGATTTTAGTGGAAATCCAGTGTTTCTCAAATTTTAGAGTACATCTGAATTGTGTGAGGAATCCTGTTAAAACTATGAATTCTGATTCAGTAGTCCAGGGTGGAACCTGAGATTCTGCATTTCTAACAAAATTCAGGTGATGCCAGTCCTGGTGGTTTTTGAACTGTACTTTGAGTAGCAAGGGAGGTGATGTTTAAGTCCCATTCAGACTAGAGTAACAGTGCTCAGCCTTGGTTGCACATTAGAATTATCTGGGAA